CACAGAAAGTGGCCAGAGAGCAGTGGCTTGTCAACTCTTAAATCCATACACGTACCGAGACATGTAATTCAAGTGGGCAGGAACTTCACCGATACTGACCGGTCGTTCTCACAATACCTAAAATTTTGTACAGACTGGTACAAATCTTGTTTTCTGACGACAAAGGCCACTCCTCGTTTGTCTTTTACCTTGGCGCACATTTTCGTCTAGACACCATAGCCCAACTCGAAACTTGCAGGCGAAATATCTCAGGCTAAGGATGTATCCCCAACACCTTTGGGAAGAAAGTAGAAAGTCGGAATTAAGGCAATTTAGATTCGACTGACTGCCCTGCTGTAACCAAGCATTAGATGGGCTGTAGTAATTTATTGTAATCGTAGTATTAGTATTTCGAGATGGCCGAATTACAAGAATCCAAACAAAACACAGAGAGGGCGGAATACAGGAATTTGTATTTAGCGGAATTATAATGCAATTCATATAAGAAACATATTAGCAATCAACAGTAAGTACTTAAACAATACAGAGATAGAAATTGTCAATCACCATATGGGTACTGATGATGAGGAGAAAATTCCTTGCTAAATGATAACTCTGGAGCTTTCAAATTGGAGTGACTTTTTCCCTAGTTTACTGAAAGTCAAGGATGTGCTAATCAACGTGTGCCGAACAAATAGATTCTGCTGTGATGTGAACGCAAAAAGCCGATCTCAAGGTTCTACTGTTGAGCCAACGAAACTTCAGTGAGACACGCGCTATCACAAAAAGTTCCTGTCGATGTAGTTGAAAAGTGAACGATCAATTCATGGTTGTTTGCTCAAACCCAACTCCTCTATACTTTTCGCGGGAGTCATCCATCCATCAGTCATCGTCTCATCGTTCGCTGTTCAGTGGAAGATCGAAAACTATCAGAAGTATTATCGTGATTTATTGTTATAACATTTATTCTTAGATCTTATGTGTAATAACCTTATTGTTGGTTACATGTTGGCGTAAGAATAAAGGATTCTCGAGTTGCCAAACAGTGTTCTGGCTTTCGCGTGGGTAATACAGTGTTTCTGAAAGTCTTCGAGGAACAGCGTGAGGTCCAACGTAGTAAGAGCTGGACATTGACAGTTCATGAGAGTTTGCTGACAGTTCCAAAATCAGGGTAGCAACCACTGTCCTTCAGTAACTTAGTGTGTTGCGTGCGTTATTTGACTAAACTGCCGTAGACATATATTCTAGTATTTCTTCGTTCTTATTAATCTGCGCAGACGTTGTGGCTACTCGACGCCCACAACGTAAATCAAAAGGCGCTTGCGAAGATTACGAATGTGTATTGTTGCAGTAGTCAAATTCGAAATTGTGTCAAGGTAATGTTTAGCAGTAAATTGACAAATGTTTGCGAAGTACATATAAAATCGGTCTGTATACACATATAATACAAGTATACAAATAAGATTAAAAAGCATGTTTACAGTTGGTATAGGGGTACTGCAAGTGGCCTTGTCCAAATCAGCGATATTTTCAAAACCCTATTTTCCCCAAGCAGTGCGTTTAATAATCTCTACAGGTAATGTAGGTCTCTAAATTATTATTATTAAATACTCGGCAAATACCGTAAGACAAATTTAGGCGACCGAATTTCGACCGAGAAGTACCTTATAATGGAGGAGAATGCGTCACCACTTCGGTTGCAGAATACTGGCCATTTACGCAGGTGGTTTGGGGTTCAATTTCAGACCGACACACGCTAACCCTTCTTGGCGGTAATAAACCTGGTAATGAGGGAAGGTTAGGTGTGAGGCTACCAACCTCATCTCATGAAAAATTCACTGCTACTGAAACTTCAAAGCTATATCTCAAAGCCCTACATCTCACTAGGAAGGCAAAATAATAAAAAAATGAATAAGTGGGATCGGGGAGGATATTTGCAATTAGGGGTTATCAGGAGCACTGCACACAAGAATCACACACCAAAGTTTCCCGCACACGGTCCTGAGTCAGAGTGACCCAATTTCACTCCAAAAAACTCATATGACTAAAGAGAAAATTGTCTATGTACACACAACCACAAAGAGATATATTAAAACTAAAGGTTAAAGAGGGACAAAGGCAAACAATAAAGGTTGAAATCAACGTGTGTTGTAATTATTTGTAATAGTAGTATTAGTGTTTCACAATCACCGAATTACGAGAATTCAACCAAAACACACAGAGGGATGAATTTAGGAATTTGTATTTGGCGGAATTATTATTCAATTCATATAAGAAAAATATTAACAAGCAACAGTAAGTATTTAAACAATAAAGAGATAGAAATTTTCAATCACCACAGTGTGGTACGCCAATGACAAATTAATGAGACATAGTCAGTCTAGTTGAAAAATGTATGGTAATTATAAAGTTAGTTGAAACGTCTAAACAGGTGTTAATTTTGTTGATAGACAGTCCATGAGAGTCTTTCAGAGAATTTGTCCATTACACAGTAATCCATTTGGAATTAATGAATCACTGATTGACACCTACTCCCGATTCTTTACTGATGCAAGGCATGAAATCTGCACAAATACACAGGGAATGGTTCATAAATGCTTCAATGCTGAGTTTGCTCTGAACGATGTACGAGGTGTGACTAAGTTTCTTGAAACCTGCAGTCACGGGAAGTGGATGAGACAAAGGAGGCCTTCATTAACACTGACAACACTATTTGGAACCCACCCAACATACCGCGATAATAGAAATCACTTTTATCCAAACAATGATGTTCATCCAGAATGAAGGTTTCAGCGTTGAAATGGGAAACTGATATTTCCCTGCTGACAAAAACTACCCGCCCGAATTCACTCATTTAGAGTCCATTGCGAGTTCCAAACCACCGAGGTGTAATGGTGAGTTTTCAATCGAAGCCAGAGCATTCTTTATAACCCGAAGTTCGGCACCAGTTAAGGTAAGCCAGTCACACTATCCCCTACTTTAACATGGGGTCTGGGATTAATACTGCAGATTACCGTCCAGTAAATCTAACACCTGCTCTCTCAAAAGTTATGGATTGAGTCTTAAAAATATCTATACTCACTTCCCCCAAATTAATACTATCAGTACATCCCAAAATGGGTTCTAATTGTGAAAGACTTGCATCTCCTGCCATTCAGAGCTTTCCACCACCTTAGTTTTGTCAAGGCGTTTGATAAACCTCACCACACTTCTCTCCTGATCAAAACAAAGTCACTTGGAACGAACAGAACGTTACATAAGCGGCTAGTCTCGCTTGTGATAAACCACACTCAAATTGACCAATTGGGCTCACAGTTTTCTCGCCCTGAAGATATCACCGGCTGACTTAGTTGTAGTTATAATCTGTAAATGGAATATGTACCTGCTTCGATTCTGGAAGAACATTGCTGTCAGCAGATGCCTTGTAAGCAACGTATAGTTTTCAACCAAGTCAGTGTGACTGTCCTTCCTCCACTATTCACAAAGAAAAGAAAAGCTGCAGAGCGCAGTTGATCATTATCAAGTCACAGCTTGGTATTTACTCTTACTGGGTGGAGTTACTAGCCTCATGCCCAACCTTACCGGTCTTGTTACCGGCTTAGAGGGATAAAGGAGTGCGTAGGCCGTAGATCGAACCTCGGACCACATGCGTGGTTGTCGAGTACTCTACTACTAAGCCACCGACGCACACAGAACACATGGCTAATTACACTCAGGACATAGAAATTTCAATATATTCCGTGACAGACGAAACAGGTAGCAAATGCCCCTAGTCCTGACGACCTATCACTTCCACAACCGAGCAACATGCGTGACATAGGAGTAAGATTTTCTACGATTCTATCACTCTCACAACAGACAGTAGTACAGTGCTTTAAAGCACGGCGTCTTATTTGATTCAGCAACCGCAATTTTCCCCTTCGGAAAATGAAATTAGCTTAATATAAAATGTGCTTTCGAATACTCTCCAATGAAGCCTTATTCCGAGAGGGAGTAAGTTAGAAAGACACAACAGTATCTCATCAGATACGCCGCCCTTAATGTACCGTACAGAGAAACGCATTATAGTAATGAACCAGAAACATCGTGGCTGAGAAGAGTAAAGCTGAATCTAACACAATATACTCCAAACCCTGCACCACAAAGTCTGGAAAAATGTATCAACAATAAGATTTGAAGAGTTTAAGCTTCGGAATACAAAACTGCTTGGTTGAAATATGCGCTGAAGATGTCGCCTAGTAGGGTGATGAAAGCTTCGCAGATAACTATCCAGCTAAGAGAACACAACCCAATAGCGTGGTTAAGCATCCTAACCGTCACATATTTACTTGCACATTTACAATAAAACTGTGACGACTTACAAACAGAATAAATAAACGCGAAAAAAACATATATAAGAGGAAATAAGTAACACAGCCTTTTACAGGTTGATTCAATTAGTTTATCAAAATAAAAAGAGGAAAATTCAAATTGTACATTACTCAAACACAAGAGAAAAGACACCATAGATGACATGCATATATACATATACATCTATCTTGGTATATATTCTTCAATAAAACGCTGGATAGAAACGACGGTGAAATATCAAAGAATACAGGTGACAATGGGTCAAAAGAGAATTTCAAATCTTCTAAAAGGATGACCAATTTTGAATGAATCTTGTCCTGAGGATTGTTTTCAGCAGCTAAATAATCACAGTACTACTACTGCATCGTCTGTTTACAGGTCGACAAAGATATATAGATAATGAGGAAAAATACCTCTAGAAATGTTTCATCACATCAGTATCATTAAATCAATCTTGAATGAAGAAGATAAATAACCATTATTCGCTCAGTTGTGTTCATCACAAAGACAATTAAAAGAAATCTACACATCATACATTCAGTAAAGAAACAAAATAATTAGATATTATTGTACAAAGAAATTAAATTACTGAGAATAAGGAAGACAGAAAGAATTTTGAAGGCAGTCACAGTTAGTCAGTTTTATATGAATAAACAAGGGAAGGCAGTCAGTCAATCATTGAAAACATTTGCATATGCTCGAAAAGCTAAAACATCTGATACATTGGAACTGCTTTGTAGCTGTTGTTGTTGTTGAATACAAAATGGAATTCCAGCACTGATAAAGAATACAGATCCTTCATTAAATTCACTGAAAGCAGGGGATACCAAAATAAAAACAACGATCACTGGTTAATTATCAATCACGTAAATAATTTGAAAACATAACAGAATGTATTTAATAGTAGTGATACCGCTATATTATACATTATAGGAATGGAAAGAATTCAGTTTGTTGGAAAAAAATCAATTTCTCAGCCAAAGTTTTCACACACACATCCGCTTATATTACTCTATGGTGGATCATCACATGCAATGCAGCCAACTTCGTAATTTGATTAGTCACTGACCTCCAGTACATTAATATATCTAACCGAGAGGTACTATGGCGGTGATTGGCTGTGAAGGGAATGTCGAGAAACTACATTGCACTGATCAAGGCACTCTACTTGAATTCATGAAGCCAATCACATGACAGTCTACGGAGAGTTGTCATCTGAAGTGATGACAACCAGTTGTGTCGATCAGGGGTGCTCACTGTCTCCATTCCTGTTTAATTTCATCATTTATGTACCATTGGACATAACCCTAACCTCTGACTTCAGTGATTCAGAGATTAAATTGTTACCACTAGGGAATGATCTCGTTGCTTAGAATGTGCAGATGACACAGTCCTTCTAGGGGAAGATGCTAACAAAATAGAACAGTCTTCTGAACACCCTCAGGGACATCAATCCTCAAGTGTTCGGCATGAGTTTAGCCCCTGTCAAAAGTAAGATGATGCGAGATTACATCGACTACTCCTACCTCAAAGATAGGGAGTGAAGTGATAGAACGTGTTGACCACTTCACTTATTTGGGAAGTTACATCCACCAGCCCCAGCAGGTTGATCTCTGACGAAATCTCAACACAGATACAGAAGGCTAGTTTGGCATTTGCCAACTAACGCCATCTCTGGCTTATTAGATGTGATATCCCGTTGGCTGTCGACCAAAGGGAGTATTTACTGCTCAGTAGTTCTTTCAGCACCCCTTTACGTCTGTGAGCGAGACATGGTCGTTGAGAGAAGACGATATAAAAAGCCTCGCTGGCTAGCTGTCTTTCTTCAATAGTGTCTGCGTTCTATGTCCCATGTTGGTTGTAAGGAGTAATATGGTGTTTAATATTGAGGTTACGCGTCGCTGTGCTAGGTAATTTATCATTATTTTTTATTTTATTTCATTACGTTTATAGTGGAACGTAGGGCGTCAAGCTAGAGGCTCGAAGTTTCGGTAGAAGTGGTGTTTAGTTTTACGGGATAGGGTTGCTAGCCTCATGGCCAACCTTTCCACTTTACCAACCTTATTACTGGCTTAGCGAGGAAAAGGAGTGCGTCGGCCGAGGATCAAACCCCGAACCATGTGCGTGATTGGCGGGCATTTATTCTAGCGTTGTGCCATCGACTCCAGTGCTGGATAAAGAGAGGAGGGGGAACCAATAGACCAGGCTGTGAAGCAGCTGCATCGATTGATACGGTTAGGACATGTGTTACGCATGCCTGCATAGACATCGCACTCCTCGACGGATAATGCTAACTGACATAAGATCGATGAGGTTGTAAAAGAGCTAGTAGTGGTAGTCAAACAAAAACCAACATGGCTTGATGAGTCAATCATATCCATAACAGTTAATTTAGGCCAGTTAGCCAACCAAGTCGGGATATGTATACTGCTTGGCGGCTGGTTGGAGTTCTTGGGATGGTGGTAAGAACCAATGGCGTCTGGAGACAATTCGTGATATGGCTAGCTCACAATCATCGTTCGTAGTGATGGCTGACATTCGCTCTATGTGGTGATTTGTCATATCCCATAACACTCTAGTGTTTCTCCATGTTACTCTTGTTTTCCCCTGACTCATACTTCAGTTTATCATCTCTCTTTACTCTCTTCTCGGCCTTTTTTGTGCTAAATGGAATATGGAAACTCAAACTACTGCGAATCTGTGCAAAGTTCTATGTTGAAACCAGTCAATCAGTCAGTGGTTATTCTGACAGACAAACAATTTAGACGCCTAAATTACGTAACAGTAATTTAAAAAAAAATTAAAAGTTTATAGGTCACTGAGTTCACATAGAAAACGTTTTTCTTATTCAACGGTCTTATTCGACTATCGGCACAGATATCATAAATGAAGTTAGAATAGAAAAAAAAACTCAATCAACACGCCACGATTTGATCCATCAACCTTTGGGGTTACACAAAATTTTTTTATGATTCTACATTTCCATTTTGTGACCTGAACATCTCACTAATCTAATTATTGCAAAGTCATAAAAGCAATAAATCGACCGCTAGGTAAGTACTTTTTGTTAGTTTCTGTCTGTTTTCGACATAGAACTTTGCACAAATGTGCGGAAGTTCAAGTCGCCACACTCCGTGTAGCACGCGAAGCAAGAGAAGCCATGTCACCAGTTGTTTCCAACCATAGATTTTTACCGAGGACCCCAGTCTGGGAGTCTACACCTTCCTACGTGGCTTAGACCAACTGTTGTGGATTTCACTGACTGGTGCCGAGTTTTTGTTTGACCACCGCTAGCTTTTTTCCAGCCTGACCCTACATCTGTCTGGATCCAACATAGAACTTGGCACCGAAGTGCACCAGTTCCAGTTGCCACGTTCCAAATTGCACACAGAGGTAGACAAGAAGATAAGTGAAGAGAATCAATACAGTCTGACGAGTATAAGAGTGAAACAGAATGGGTAATGGTAGAAAGGAATATGAAAGATTACAGAGACTGAAAACATCTGCGCTGGCCATTGACAACGATTTTGAGCCATGTCACCTATTGTCTCCAGCCATTGCCATTGATTCCTAGAGTCAGTCCCGAGGGCCCCAACCCGGAAGTCTACATCTCCCTCCCTACCTGACTCAGTTTAACCGTCAAGGATTTCATGGATTGATGCCAACCCTACATCCGTTAACATTGCTCGTCGAGGGAGGCGATGGCTTGGCATACGTAACACATGTCCTAACCATCTCAGTCTTTGTAGCTTCACGACTTCGTCGATTGATTTCCCCTGTTTACCTAGAACTCGACGCCTAACCTCCATGTTGCTCACCTTATTATGCCACTTTACACGGGAAATAGAACGCAGGCACCTATCATCAAAGACAGCTAGTCTTTTCATGTCTTCCACTCTCAGTGGCCAGGTCTCACAGCTGGCCATAAAGGAGGACGGAGCGGACTAATGAGCAGTACACCCGCCTTTTGGTCGATAGTCGAACATCTCGTCTACGCCAGAGTCGGCGTAAACTGGCAAATGAGAAACGAGCCCCCTGTATTCGTGCTGAGATTTCGTCAGAGATCAACCCGTTGGCACTGGCTCATGGTACTTCCCAAATAAGTGAAGCGGTCAACGTGCTCTACCACTTCACTTCCTATTTTTAAACTAGGCGTCGATGTAGTCCAGTCCTGTAACATCATCTTGCATTTGGCGGGAGCGAATCGCATGCCAAACATTCGTAGATTACAGCTCAAGGTGTTTTGTTAGTTAGTTAGTTTTAGGCATTCATTGGTCGATTCAATTGAAAGATGAACGTGATATATAATATATTATATATATATATATATATATATATATATATGTGTAAATGAAACTTACAAGCATTCACAAACAAAAGCAGAAGCTGTTGAATTTTCCTCAGTCCAACTGGATTTTTTCTTTTCATTATTATTTTTATTCATCGGTGTAGAATCATCTTTCACATCTGATATTTCTGTCATTCTACTAGCAGATAATCTATTTCCATATAAACGTTGTATTCTGCCCTGTCCATTGATAATCAATAAGATACTAGCAGATTTTAATGGTGCAAATTCAACTGCTTGATACTGACTCGGTATCTGTTAAAATAAATTAAAATACATATATACATATTTATATACATAACAAAGGGTTGAAGTGTAACGACAGAAGAAGACAAGGGTCAGGCAACAGATCGTTTATTAGGAAAATCAACAGATATTTATAGATTTTTATGCTCGTTATTGTTAGTGGAGAAGCAAACCCTCTTTGACTGATTGTTTTCTGCGCTGCTTGTGACCGTTTCTTAGAAAGTTAAGCCATATATCTGCGAATCGTACTTGCACACGTTAAGTCTGCTGTGATTGGTTGGTGAGTTCCTCAAGGTTAAGCTTGGTTATTGTTTTTTTTTCACATGACCCCGGTTCGGAATGTAAACATTGACGTAAATTGTTGTTTACAATTTTAGCTTGCAGACAGCTCTCACCACAGAAGGAAGACTTTTCAAGCAGCCACCTTGCGGCTATGTGTTAAGGATAAGACACCGCTTTTGGTCATCTTATCTGGTCGACTTATTCCTTTCTATACAGCAAACTATGTTGGCTATCTGTCACGTAACGTCAAGAAACGTATTTTGAATAGCCAGAGAGGAGAAAACATGAATGCCAATAATTCAGATTCTTCAGCACTTAATCAACCCTGAACGTGTAGAATCCGCACAGGATTGCTTCACAGTGCTAAATACAGTCATGTAACATCGAAAAAAGGATTTTGGAATTCATTATTTGTAAGTAGCTGAACAACTGACTATTCGGGACTTGAAACATTAACTCTGTGTTGGAAAGCTAATTATCAATTTTAATGCTCTTGTGGAACTAGTGTCACTGGGCGTACAATCAGATAGTTTCATTTCATCAACGCAATTCTGCATGGTTATGCAAGGCATAAACAAGATCCATCCATAGCTCTGTTTTAGCACATCTTGTAGATACTGAGCATATAGTTGATGTTAACAAAGAATTTAGACAAGCTCGTATACCAGTCAGCCAAGGGGAACCGATTCAATGTCTTATTAATTCTAACTTCTACCAGTTCGTGATTTAGCGCGACCCCAACCAGTGTCGTCGGTGGGATATCCATCCTCACACGTGACATCTGGATATACCTCACTGGTCACGACTTCTCACTAGAACTCCAGGAAACTCCATCCTGTAGCAAGTCACCAGCGAGCATCAGACTGATTTTCTATAGTTTGGTTTGTAAGGGTTAGTTATGTTTTTACGAGTTGATCACGGATTGATATCAGTTAGAGAACCATTGAAAACCAGGGTGTCCTTGACAGCTGTTTCATCCTAGTTTGGGAATCATCGGCAGTACGCACCCACTGTCGATGATTCCCAAACTAGGATGGAGAGAATTTAGAGTTATTTATCCCATTGTGACCAATTATAATTTGCTTTACCAGTTCGTCTTCTACATACAACTGAATCCATCGAAATCCATCTATGGAAGAGAAACTTGTGTGATTAGAAGAGATTCATCTTTACCTTGGCCATCAGTGCATAAATGTACACTCTGACAATTTTCCATTGACCAGTGCGACCCGATCGAACTGCGCATGAGTGGTCTGTGCAGCTCACCATGTAACCAGAAGGTCCTGGGTTCGAACCCCAATAAATGCGTACTGATGAAGAGTCTCAAAACACTATGAAGGAATAGCTGGCCAAGCACTCCCTCATAGTTTTCCAATGTTTCTCGCACTAATGTCAACTCGTGATAATAAGTACGAACGTACATCAAAAAGAAAATTTTCTTCACAATCACGCCTTTTTTTGTTTATGACAAATAGTTTAACCTACAGAAATCTATCCACCACACACACACCACACACACACATGAACACACCCGCGCAAATCTCAGTAACAAGAGGAATAGCGGTAGGTATTGTGTCTTTCAGTTACTCCAAATGAAAGTATGTGAAATGTAGTTTTCAATTTTTATAAGTATAATTGATTATTCAAGTATTGGTTTTTGTAGGGATTTTGTTTGATTGCATGGAGGATTTAATCATGAGCTGAGCCACTGGACCCAGTGGCTCAATGGTCTACGAGCTCGCCTTGTAACCAGAAGGTCCTGGGTTCGAATCCCGGTGGGTGCGTACTGCTGAAGAATCCCAAACTAGGACGAAACAGCTGTCCAGTACTCCCAGGTTTTCCAATGGTTCTTTAACTACTGTCAGCTCATGATGAAATCCTGAGACCAATCAAATCCCTACAAACCAACACTTGAATACCAATAAGATGCTCACTGGCGACTGGCCCTATTCAGATAGGTAGTTACCTGGGTTCCAGTGGGAAGTCGTGACCAGTAGGGTGCAGCTGGTCGGGTGTGAGGACAAATACTCGCCGAAGACATTGGCTAGCGGTCGCGCTATGTCGTGAATTGGCAGAAGTTAGAATTCAACGACTATTGGATCGGGTCCCAGTGGCTCAATGGTCTACGAGCTCGCCTTGTAACCAGAAGGTCCTGGGTTCGGATCCCGGTGGGTGCGTACTGCTGAAGAATCCCAAACTAGGACGAAACAGCTGTCCAGTACTCCCAGGCTTTCCAATGGTTCTTTAACAAATGTTAAGTCATGATGAAATCCTAAAAAGGAATATTATTGGTCTGTTACGGTAGCTAGCTATAAACTGATACGCCTGTCTAAACTGAGTCGAACGGAAACGATGACTGGAGCATGTATCCCAGGACAACATGGAGGCGATCAGAGACTATGGACAATCTGGGGGCCATCTAAAGAGGACTTCAGAAAATAGAACAAAGTGAAGATGTGTTGTTGAAGCTTATGTTCCACTCGGAACTCAAGAGAACAGTAAATAGAAGACTAAGTCAGTCCGAACATACTACTGATGAGGTGGTCGGTTGCAAACAAACCAAACGACCATCCAATGTTAAGATTACATCGAAATGCCTAGAAAGCACTACTGATTGACATCAGTAGTTGCTAAAAACTCATTCACCAAAACTTCTCATTAGCCAAATCAATTGTATTAACTAACCAGCTATAACATGAGTAATGACAGCATCGGTGTATCAAAGGGTAACTGATGTGATACCTAACTACTCATTAGGATAAACGATAAGTCTCGTTAAGCAAATATTATTTTTATTATTCGATTAGGTTTCGAGCCGAACATAGAGAGATTCAGCAGCACGTTAGCATTTTGCAATGTTTTCTGCACTCTTCTTCATCTGGCGCCACAACTGTTCATGATCTCTCATCTCCTTCATGTCACTCTCGGATATATGCCCAACTCGTTGTCTCTCACTCAGGTTCTAATCTACCGATGTACTGGCACTCGATGTCACCCAACAGTCCCTTCAGCGTGTGTTCAATCCATCACCATTTCTTAAGACAATATTTGTTGAACAATGGGTTCTTGGTTGTTCTGTTCCCATGGTCTCTTTGTTGCTAATTCTTTCTAGCCGGCTTGCCATTTGATCTTCAATATGGAGCCAGGAAAGGCAGGTGTTGATGACAGTTTGCAGCCGGATGTTGTGAATGCTTTTCGTGCCGCCTGTGCCAAATTTCTGACTCATAAAGAAACACCGACTGACTTGCCGTTCGTTCTTTATGCTGGCTGAGGGTAAAAGATATCCAAAATGATTTCGAAGTGATTAAGGTGTGCGCCTTACCTTTCTGATCTAGTCTAGTTTTGACATCTTCATCTGTGGAGTAGGCTGTGGTTGAAACAATGCTTCCTAGATAAGTGAATGAAGTGACCTCTTTCAAATTTCTCCTGTTGATGATTATTATTGCTGCATGGGTATCCTAACCACCTCCTGGAATCCTGTGTTCGCTAGTTGCTTCTCCTACCAGTTTATTGGTTTTCGCCTTTAGGTCTTCGAATCTATGTGACATCAGACGACATATATTGTTAGCGAAATCCAAACCTCCCAGAGTATTCTGGTCCGTGGTCCAGCGTATTCTTGTCTTCTCACTCCCGACGCACAATATGAAGCATAATCCAGTCCACCACAATTAGGAATATCATCAGTGATATCAGGTAGCCTTGTCTTCCTTCTATCGCCACTTCAAGTCTTTCACCAAACTTTCCGTTGTTGATCAGTTGACATGTGGCATTGTCATATAGCCAGCTGTTGGATGAGCTTGATAAAGATTTAGGTCACTGCAAGCCATAATGTTGAATTAGTCTCCAAAGCTGTCGAAGACCCTTCCAAAATCGATGAAATTGAGGTAGAGGCTTGACTGCCATTCTATGCTTTGTTCGATGGTGCGTCGTCGGTGGCACAGTGGTTAGGACTCTCGCCGACCATGCGCATGTTCCGGGATTCGATCGCCTGCCGACGCACACCTGATATCTATGGTCAGCCTGTAAAATTTGGGCTACCGATATCACATGCTGAAAATTCCATACTTGTACCGAAAATACGGTGTGACATCAAGCTGTAATCAAAATAAAAAAAAACAAATAAATAAAATAAAGTAACAATCTGATCAGCACATGATTTGCCTTCCGTGAATCCACCTTGTTCTGAGGGGGGGGGCGACGGAGTTCTAGATAAAGTACATCTTTTATTCTCTCCTGGATGACGTGACTTAGTATTTGACATCAATACGCAAGGGAAATTTTGCTTTCTTTCTAAAATTTCTCAGCATGAAGTTTCGAAACACTTGTGTTGTTACAGTCCTAGTAACACAATACTGGCGGCTTTATAAATGATTTAATTGAGACGATTTATAAACAGAAATATTTACTACACATAGTAGGAAAAAACTTACTACAATTTTGTCCACTGAGAACTCCTCGACTGGAGGTGAAAATGTAACAATATGAGGTGTATTCATTGAATTCTTAGTCTGCTCCATAGTCGGATATGTCGGTTGAGGTGGTGTAATCTCTTTCAATTCTCCGCTAAACATTAACGCTGATCCCCAACGTGGTTCATATTGAACAATTTTAAGAAGATGGTCAACATCTTTAAATTTCTGTGTTAAACCTGCACGAATCACATTATCCGACGAGGCCATACATTCTATACAATCTCCAGATATATAAGCATGTGGTAAATTAGGCTTAAAAAATTTTCGAAAAATAAAACAACAGAAAACATTTTTACAATATATATTACGATTAAAAGTTTATAGAGATTTGTTATTTAACTGGTAGTGACTAGCACTTGAATTCAGGAAACGCGTTTCGCCCCCCCATAGGACTCATCAGATGGATGCATCTTCATTCGCATCAATATAAACGCCCAAATAGGTAACTTGGATTCCATAGTTAGCTACCGCCAACCAAGTGACGTCATACTAACTCTCAGATATCGACGATACAACCAGACGACTACAAATCGATGCCTGGTGAGAAACCTGTTCAATATAATTCAGTTGACAAGAAAAACAAAATAAATTAAATAATTATTCTATAAATATCATATAGCGGTGTACAAAACACGTGAGAAGTTGATCCGTCAAGAGCAGGCTGGATTTCCTACAAGCGGTGGATATATTGATCATGTGTTTATCCTTCGTCAGTTATTGGAACATCATTACACATATTGTAGGCCAATAATTGCTTTTTCACTTGATCTCAGAGCTGCCACCAATTCATCTGGACAGACACTGTGTTCTGGAACAGTCTGTTAGAGAGGGGTGTATCTGAGAAGTTTGTGAAGATCCTGAAAGCTCTATACAGAAATACCTCAGGTAGAATGGAGGCATACAACCAAAGTGGGGTTAGACAGGGTCACCGAATCTCTTCATTTCTCTTTAACTTTGTCATCGACGAAATTCCTCTGGAGTCAGAGCTGAAGGACATGTGTGATGGTGTAGATCTGTTTCGTGGTGAAACACTTTATAACCTCGAGCATGGAAACGATATCGTGTTACTATGCGATAGCATGCAGACTGCTCAAATCGCAATTAATCAGTAAGGATCAATGTTTGTAATTATGGCATTTGCTTTGCACCATCTAAGTGCAAAATACTATTACAAGATTGGCTGACAGAAGTTTGTACCTGCAGTCACTCTTGCAGGTGAACTGCTTGAAGTTTCTGTCCATAAGTTCGTGTATCTGGGTAGTTGTGTGAGTGCTAGCGGAGGCGTGATGGACAAGATTTCAAACCGTACAGTGCAGGCTAGGGTAACATACGCCAACTTGAGCCACTTCTAGCGCCCGGCAATCAAAGGTCAAGTATACAATACTTCGGTGAGCTCACACATCCCTCATTACTTTGAAACCTAGCCTCTCCTAAATGAGGATGTGTGGCGACTTTGCATATTCGATGATCGCTTGCTCCGTAGAATCACTTGCATTCGATGGCATCACCGCGTGAGTAACATTCTGGTCCGGTGGCATGTACCACTCATTGAGCATCTTCATTTGCAAACACCGGTTTCCATTCGCTAGCCCTAGGACTGGATGAAAAAAAGTGGAGAGGTGGTCAGTCTGTGACGTCGCGTCATGGGATGGAGGGTATTTGTGACAGGTTAGCATCATTTGGTGCATCACAACTCCCTGGTTTAGGTATGAGAGATAACTTGAATTATTGGCTCGAAACGTTATCCGATAGGGTTTAAGATAGCAGTCAATAGTGAACATGTTATAACTTCCTTCTTCCCTTCCTGACAATAATTCGACGAAAGCTGTTTAGTCGTGTTAAATATAACTGCTTTCTTCCAAGATGAAGTCCTTTATTCATTCTCTACCTATTTGTTGTGTGGCGCATCCTCATGATGCTTAATTTATACCAGGCTTTGTGTTTTAAATAAAAATAAAAAATTGGAAAAGGCTAGAGAGCTACTGACTATCTAGGGCTATCGCGTTCTGTTTTGGGGCTCTTCAACAACACAAACTCATTACCCCAGGAGACACTGAGTCAAGTCGCAGATAGGTGCATGGTAACATGTAGGTAGTGAGCCCAAATACAAAAGTTAAAAATTTTCTAAATCCTTCCAACTCTCAATATATCTTTTAAAACAATTAGTTCCCTTTATGAATTTAGATAAAGCAATAAGAAGACGTAATTTGTCTGAATCGTTTAATGTATTTGCGCAACACATTTCGAACAATCTGATCACACTCAACGACTTGTCATAGGAATATCATATGAAATTAATAAAGAGCCTCATAGCAGCTTAATAACTAGACAAAGACTGAACGCTGCTGTTAAAAAGACTTTTATGCAGCTTATATCGTAATAATTGAGAATGTGAAGCCAATATATATCTATCTAAGCCCTATGAACATGCGAAAAATGATGTCATATCCCACTGTATTTAACAATTTGAATGTACGTGTGGACACACATACATAGGGAGGACTCATTGATCTCTGCAAGTAAGGGCTGGCTTCAGAGCATATTCCTAAATGGCTCCAGAAACAAATGGAATCTTCAGAACCTATTAACGGTGAGAACAGGAGACCTAACTCCTCTATTGCGAAACATATTATAGAGACAGGACATAAAATTGATGTTAACAGATCTTTTAAACCTATCTATAAAACGTGTTTGAGGCGTATCCTAAAGTTTGTGGAAGCCTTAGCAATTAGACAGTTCAAGCCACCTTTATTCGTTCAAAAACAATTCGTCATCACATTAAACCTTCCTTGGTAAATTTTGTTTTGATACCAACCATAGTAGATGTACTATTACCTCTGCTATTTGGTTTAGTGGTCTTCATTGTTGTTTTGACCTTGAATATGTCTATTTTCTCACCTCTTAACTCTTTATTAATTTCATATGAGTATTCCCATGACAACTCCGTTGAGTGTGATCACATTGTTCGAAATGTGTTTTGCAAATACATTAAACGATTCAGACAAATTACGTCTTCTTATTGCTTTTTCTCAATATATCCCCTATCAAAACGAACTGGGTGTGAAAGCAAATACTCACTAATAACACAGTGGATGATTTTGGCACATTATCTCACCACGCGCTTAATCTCGTAACCTAACAATTCTGTATTTGATTCCTTACTCAGCAGTGGGATATTTAAATGCGGGGAAAAACGACACACCTGTTCAATGTTAAACTCAACTTCGATATCAGGTTAATACAAAACAAATACAAACTATATGTACAAAATGAAAATAATGTTCGTCTAACTGAGGAATGTCAGTTCATAAATATAAATGTAACTTTTTCTAATGATCGACCTTATTTATAGAAAGGTTGAAATATGCCGAGTAAATGTTACTCTGGTGAATATTTAAACCCATTTTAATAATACATTTATATTAACTATTCTCATAATAACATTCAGAACAACACATTTAAGCGAACGATACTGTGTTTTCAATTAGATCTCATCAGGCTTAGCTCTAAATTACACAATTTTACAAATAAAAATTCATATATAGACCAATTATGGTGTTTTTTCTATAGGATAATAAGATGGCGAATATAACTTGTGTAATTAGTCATAATAATAATAATAATAATAATAATAATAATAATAATAATAATAATGGTTCTATCAATAATTAGGATGAAAAAGCTAGATAGTTTTGCTACACATCTATGTGTATCCATCATCTCAACTGCACCTGCGGCGATAGTTATTTTGGGCGTACTACTAGGCATCTTGACCAACGTGTCATCACTAAACATCTCCCACCGTATTTTGGCAAAGGACGGGAAAAAACAATCTGTAGCTCAATTTTTCACACTTAATTAGTTGATAGTGGTCATGTAGTGGAGAAAACGAAAGCCTTCAAAAGTAATTCATCGTATCCCATTGAATCTTTCTAATAGACTTCGTATTTATCTACTGCACTCATATAGCTGAGGTGATAGGCATTCGAACTATTAAACCTAAACTATGCATACAAAAGAAGTTCGTACAGCCATTATCCCTCCTATGTTGGCCTATTAAGACATAACCAACTGATGACTTCTACATCACCCATTACTTATGTTTTCAACATCGGTCTCTTATCACCCTTAATCTTATCACATCTTAACTAAAAACGTGTTTCATTTACTTCCCTTACAATCAACCCAGCATTACTTAATCGGTCCATTTGTTTCTACTAGCCTGGATCGACTACTATGTCCACCTGAACAATTGTTTGTTTAATCATGCTATTTTCCGTTATTCGTGTTATCACAGATCGCCTCAGTTTTTCATCCTTATTATTGATAGAACCATTATTATTATTATTATTATTATTACGACTAACTGCACAATTTATATTCACTATCTTATTATCCTATAGGCAAAACACCATGATTGGTTTATATTTGTAGAGTTATGTAGGTATATTAGAGTTAAGTCTGATGAAATCTAATTGAAAACAACAATATTGTTCGCTTAAATGTGTTGTTCTATATTCATATTGTATCAATATCTTATTAATATATTTACAATAAAAAATTACTATTATATTCATAACTAAAAATGTAATTTCGCAAATTTATTGACCTTCAAATTACCAAGTCAACCCGTTGACTATTCACACAGTCAGAGGGTCTGCTAACCATGATGATGAATGATTAGTAGTGGGTGGAACTCGTAACCACAAGGAGTCTTTGTCTATTTCATGAATTAAGGTCAAAAGATATATATATATAGTCCTTATTTCTAATTTAGACTCATGTTTATTTAACCAGTGCACCACCACCTTTCACTTATTATTGATTTATTGATTTAAAACACAAAACTTGGTATATTATAGGCCCAAGACGATGTACCACACAACAATGTATAAAAAAAATAAGCAGAGAATGAATGAACCGAGGATTATATCTGGAAAGGGAGCAAGTATGTTTGACAAGATCAAACAACATTTGTTGTATTACTGTCAGGAAGGAAAGAAACTAAGGAAATTGCAGCATGTTCGCCATTCACCGCAACTTTCAGACATATCTGATAACTTTTTGAGCTACGGATTTAAACTATCTCTTGAACCTCAACCAGGGTGTCAATGTAGTTGAAGACTGAACGATCAATTCATGGTTGTTTGCTCAAAACCAACTTCCCCAATTTTCGCGGAGGCATCATACGACAGTCATCGTCTCATCGGTCGCTGTTCAGAAAGAAGTCAGCAGAAAACCGTCAGAAGTAATACTGTGATTTGTTATTGTAATATTTGTTCACAGACCTTAGTGGTAACATTGTTTATATGTTGGTGTAACAATAAAGAATCCTTGAGTCGCCAATTGGTGTTTTGGCTTTTTCGTCCGTTATTACTAAGCGTTTCTGAGAAACTTCAAGGAACAGCGTGAGCCCGAGTGCAGCAAGAGCTGGGCATTAACGGTTTATGAGACGTGGCTGACACAGGGAGTCAGCATGTACCCAACTGATGCTAACCTAAGACCAATACCCTTCATAGTACGATGGCACATCATAGGCTAACCGCCTTGTCGCTTATTCTATTCAGCTCCAAGACTGGAGAACAGGGACCCCTGAGAGGTCACTTTGTATAAACCTTCCGTCTAGAAACACTCTCTGATATTGCCTTCATTATCTTTGGTATACTTATTTGCATAAACGTTTTCGAATACCCATTTCTCACTAGTGTCTCCCTAAAGAATTTCTTCTCATAGTCTACTCTGCCACTTGAACACATCCTTCTTGCTCTATCAAACAAGGTTCGAAACCCCTAGGTCAAGCAAGGCTTGCTGTATTCGATTGCCTCCGACCATTTTAAATCAACAATTTAATGAATTATTATAATATCCTTTAATTCCTAGAGGAACATAGGGCTTCAGCTGCGCACCTCCATTGCCTTCTGTTTTCGGCCAACTTTTTCACCCCGCTCCAAGTCTGCCCACATGCTTTCATCTCCTCCTCACATGACCTCCTCCAAGTCACCCTTGCACTGACGACCAACTCGCCGCTTCCCTTTCGGCGAGTACTTTCAAAGTACACCATAATGGCGAATCCCGCCTAGCATCATCATGGTGACTATATTGCAAACTTGACGGATGACAGAATTCAATCTGCACCAAACAAAGAAGTAGACACGCACACACACACACACACACACATTACACTAGTTACTGACTAGTATCCAATCAAAATAATAATTTATAATTACTGTTAATTATTATAACTTACTTCCAAGAAAATTGCTTCACCTGGATTCAACCTGACATAATTGAAGAAGAATAAACTGAAACAACCAACATCACCAGGAAAATCTGTAGCCAATCGAATGAATACCTCTTTTAAGACGTCTGTATCAAGCGTGGTATTTGTTTCAATTGATGGGATAGTTATCTTTTCACCATTTGTTAATCTCTCCTTTAAGTTATCCACTAATGTACTGACCTAGAGATGAATATAAACAACATACAATAAATAGAAAAATAGAATACATCTAGAAAGCATCAAGAGTAATTATTTAATTCGTGGATGGTGACTAGCAGTGGAATCCAGGATGCGCATTTCGTCCTAATTGGGACTCGTCAGCTGGATGTACCTGCATTTCTCAGTGAGTGATGATGTTCTCACCGAGGCTCGAACCCAGTACCCATAGTTTCAAACGCCAAAGCGTTATCCACTAGACCACTTGGGCCACGAGAGCCACCTCTTGTGCAACAGGTCATATTAATTTAATTTAATTTGAGATTTTCCCGTCGATTGATTGGACCGAAGTGCTCGGTCTCAAGTTGACATGTCGGCTTCTTGTGCAGATGCTTCGACGATGTCAGGGTATTTAGTTAGTATTTAATTGGTGGATGGTGACTAACAGTGGAATTCATCCACGATGGTTATTTCGTTCTACTTGAGACTTACCATTTTTTTATTACAGCTTGATTCCACACCGTAGTTTAGGTACAAGTATGGAATTTTCAGCATGGATATCGGTAGCCCAAATTTTGCAGGCTGACCATTGATATCAGGTGTGCGTCGGCAAGGGATCGAACCTCAGACCACGTGCATGGTCGGCGAGAGCCCTAACCACTGTGCCACCGACGCACACCTGCTTTCCGCAGTGAGTGATGATGTTCCCACCGAGGCTCGAACCCAGTGCCCATAGTTTCAAACGCCAATAGACCGCTTGGGCCACGAGAGTCACCTCTTGTACAACGAAATGCACATCCTGGATTCCACTGCTAGTCAACATCCACCAATTAAATACTAACTAAATACCCTGACATCGTCGAAGCATCTGCACAAGAAGCCGACATGTCAACCTGAGACCGAGCACTTCGGTCCAATCAATCGACGGGAAAATCTCAAATTCAATTACATCAAGAGTGATGCATAAAAACATTATTGAATTCAATTGTCAATGTTGATGAACAACTGAATTGTTTGTTTATTCGAACTGGTCTCCATATTGGCGGGAGACAAGAAGGCTACCGCTGCTAAATCAATCGTATACTGGTTGGCAGAAGACTGGAGAAATACAATTAGAAGTATTATTGTACATTACACTAACGCTTATTTAGAGAAAGGTAAGTAATGTTGACGTTAGGCGTAGAGTGTTGGGAAAAGAGGGAAAATCAATCGACGAGGCTATAAAGTTACATAGACTAAGATGGCTAGGTCACGTGCTGCGCATGCCTAACCATCGCCTCCCCCGACGGGCATTGCTAGCTGATATAGGTGAAGGTTGGAAAAGAGCCAGTGGTGGCCAAACAAAAACATGGCCTCATCAATCCATGAAATCCTTGACAGTCAAACTGAGTCAGGTAGGGAGGGAGATGCAGACTTCCGGGTTGGGGCCCTCGGGACTCTGAGAATCAATGGCTGGAGACAATAGGTGACATGGCTCAAAATCGTTGTCAATGACCAGCGCACATGTATTCAGTCTCTGTAATCTTTCATATTCCTTTCTACCATTACCCATTCTGTTTCGCTCTTATACTTGTCAAACTCTATTGATTCTCTTCACTCATCTTCTTGTCTACCTCTGTGTGCTATTTGGAACGTGGCAACTGGAACTGGTGCACTTGGGTGCCAAGTTCTATGTTGAATCCAGACAGACAGAGACTTTGCATTTGGTAATAATCGTAATTCTGTTTGGTTATCGGTCGAAAAATAAACAATCGTATTGCCTTACCGCTGTTCCTACTGAAGCTCCGCTTCAATTACGGTGCGTAGTATTCTGAGTATTAAACTTAGTCTTCTGAAACAAGAGATAGGTTCAGGATCTTTGTGATCTGGATATTTGCCACCAATGTCTACGAAAATACACAATTTAAAATGAAATTTCGTCTTATTGTGAATACTTTACAAAATTGTATGATCTATTTGACAGGATAAATGGTGTGTAAACTGCCAGTATTAATGAAAAGCGAGTAGCATATGCGGATATGTGTGGCCTTGAACTACTCAAATCACCTACATATGATGATTAAGATACTACTTGCTTTTTAGTACGAAAAAGGTAGACATGACGTCTGAGATGGAAAACAAATTATTGCAGGTGGACTCTTTTAATCAAATAGAAAGCAGTCGTACGAACAGCGTATCCCAAGCTATTCAAAACAGTTTAAAAACTCTTTTCAACGAATTTATCATCAAGCTGTACAGTCGTATATATATGGTTTTTCAGAAGTTATATCCGGTGAGGGAATTGAATCTTAGGTGTGAATGCATAAAATAATAATAATAATCATATGAAGTTCAATTAAAACTAAAATGTTTGTGATTATAATCGTAGTTAAATGTCAAGTGGCAAAGCAGATTAATGTCATATATAGAATAATTCATAGGAGGGATAGAACTTGAAAAAGGATGTGCAATTATAGGATTAGTAGGCAAATCGAATAAAACAAAAACGTTACGTAATATTGTGTGAAATTTAATAGCATAGAATTTATCGTTGTAAAAAAGAATTGATTTAGAATGACAAGTGGAACAAGTGAAATAATACCGGGGACAGTTCAAAGTGAGAATAGTAATAATAACAATTGACTTAATAAGGAAGAGTATACAAATTGAATAGACAAAATGAAAAATGAAAAATTGGTAGCTAAAATATGATTGGGGATTATCATATTTTAGCATAGAGGGATTAAGACCATGAAAGTTGGAGGGGTTGAACGAACTTTTTCTGTACACAGAGATCTGGCTTTTCTGTTTCGATAGCCAAAGCTTCAGCAATACAGATGAGTCGGGTACGTAGGGATTTAGGTAGATTGCTCTTTGCCTTGTAGATGACTTTAAAGGCGGAGGCTATAGAGATAGGGTGATCATTTTCGACCAGATGTTCTATGATCGCGCTTCTTATTGCTCCACTTCCACCTTTTCGTAGCCATGCAGGATAATGTTCTTGCACCCTCTTGGACAAAACTCGAGTCGAACGACCGATATACCTAGCTCCACAAGAGCAGGTGAATTGATAAACGCACATAGAGTTGGTCAACATTGGGATCTTGTCCTTCAGGTTATTGAACAATAATGGTCGGCTAGTAAAAGCTATTCTCAGAGAGGCAGCAGGGAATGTTCTTTTCAGGGACTGTGATATCCTTCGTTTCATGATATCGGAAGCTAAGTCCCCTTTGAATTCTAAGCTCATGTAAAGTATTTTCTTGGGAGCGGTTGATAAGTCACGTTTTGTAGGCTTTGAATGTATATTCTTATCTATAAAACGTGGTGGAAATCCATTTTCCATTAGGATTTTCCTCAAAGTGTATAACTCATCTTCCACAGTATCAGTGCTACATATGCGCCGAATACGAGTGGCAAGCGACCGGACCAGGTTTCGTTTTCGACCAATAGGTACCCAGCTATAGAAATTTGTCAGTTGACCATTCCATAACAGCCTACGATAAATCGATCTCTTCAGAGTTCCATCGGTCCTTCTTGATAAGTTCACATCGAGGAAATGAATGCTAGACTCGTTCTCCATTTCGAGTGTGAATTTTATCGCAGGATGGCACTCATTAAATACACTTAATATATTATTCAGGTTACAATCAATATTACAAATAATAAAGGTGTCATCTACATACCTTTTATATATTTGAAAGCTTTGGATCATAGGCTTCAGGGAACCATTTTCTAGACTGGACATAAAAACGTCTGCAAGGAGAGGACCCAAGGGAGAACCCATCGCAATACCATCCTTCTGCCTGTAGATTGTTTCATTGAAAGTAAACTGTACATTCAATGTACATCTCAAAAGTAGTTCTTTAAGATCTGTAGTAGGTATCCCTATGTTCAATTTGTTGTCTTCAATATATTTGCATATAAAACATATGGTCTCTGTCAGTGGAACGTTCGTAAATAAGGATTCTACATCCAAAGACAACATTTGTTTATTCGACGCATTTATATCCTGTATACATTCAACAAATTGGAAGGTGTCCCGAAGGGAATGATTAGATAGTTGCCCCCTGACTGGTTCGAGGATTTCAGCTAACCACCCAGCTACTGGATGATAGGGCGATCCAGACATATCCAAGATAGGGCGAAGTGGAACTCCAGCTTTGTGTATTTTCGGTAGACCATACAGTCTTGGTATTAGAGATCCTGTTGGTCTGATCTTTTCGTATAATTCTTCACGAATGAGATGATTGTTCTTCATTCTCTTTAAAGTATCGGTAAGTTGTTTCTCAATTAATTCCGTCTTGTTTTTCTCGTTCGGTTTCGAGAATTTACTGCTGTCTGAAAGTAGACATGACATTTTATCGATATAATCTTTGCGATCCATAATAACAACACCTGTACCCTTGTCAGGGCGTGTTAATAGTATATCGCTGTTATGCGTCAAAAGTTTAAGTTCTTCTTTGTGCTGTTTAGTAAGAAGACTTTGCATTTTTGGTCTAGCATTAAGGTATTGATTGCAGGAGTCCGTAATGGTAGATTTGAAGCATTGGAAATCCTGGTCTGACGATGGTGTGAGATCATAGGTTTGACTGAGTAAATTCTCAAACTGGACATGAGTATGTAGCTTGTTGATATTGAGATTAACATCGCAAAACTTCGAGCCCATAGACAAGGCTTCCATTTGTAATTTCGATAAAGATATAGAGGAGTGGTTGAACACGTATCTCTCAGAATTCTCAGGAAATTTTCGAAGACGTTCGATAGGTTTTAGGCTATTAGATAGCTTTGAATTAAAAGACATAGTTTGTTTGTTGGTGACCACATTGACATAATCATTAAACGTCTGACGTTCATCAACCGATAAGTCATATAGAGCAGAAGATCTTTGTGATATATTCCTTTCTAGCTCAGGGATACGTCAACTGATATGGGTTGATGAACGTCAGACGTTTAATGATTATGTCAATGTGGTCACCAACAAACAAACTATGTCTTTTAATTCAAAGCTATCTAATAGCCTAAAACCTATCGAATGTCTTCGAAAATTTCCTGAGAATTCTGAGAGATACGTGTTCAACCACTCCTCTATATCTTTATCGAAATTACAAATGGAAGCCTTGTCTATGGGCTCGAAGTTTTGCGATGTTAATCTCAATATCAACAAGCTACATACTCATGTCCAGTTTGAGAATTTACTCAGTCAAACCTATGATCTCACACCATCGTCAGACCAGGATTTCCAATGCTTCAAATCTACCATTACGGACTCCTGCAATCAATACCTTAATGCTAGACCAAAAATGCAAAGTCTTCTTACTAAACAGCACAAAGAAGAACTTAAACTTTTGACGCATAACAGCGATATACTATTAACACGCCCTGACAAGGGTACAGGTGTTGTTATTATGGATCGCAAAGATTATATCGATAAAATGTCATGTCTACTTTCAGACAGCAGTAAATTCTCGAAACCGAACGAGAAAAACAAGACGGAATTAATTGAGAAACAACTTACCGATACTTTAAAGAGAATGAAGAACAATCATCTCATTCGTGAAGAATTATACGAAAAGATCAGACCAACAGGATCTCTAATACCAAGACTGTATGGTCTACCGAAAATACACAAAGCTGGAGTTCCACTTCGCCCTATCTTGGATATGTCTGGATCGCCCTATCATCCAGTAGCTGGGTGGTTAGCTGAAATCCTCGAACCAGTCAGGGGGCAACTATCTAATCATTCCCTTCGGGACACCTTCCAATTTGTTGAATGTATACAGGATATAAATGCGTCGAATAAACAAATGTTGTCTTTGGATGTAGAATCCTTATTTACGAACGTTCCACTGACAGAGACCATATGTTTTATATGCAAATATATTGAAGACAACAAATTGAACATAGGGATACCTACTACAGATCTTAAAGAACTACTTTTGAGATGTACATTGAATGTACAGTTTACTTTCAATGAAACAATCTACAGGCAGAAGGATGGTATTGCGATGGGTTCTCCCTTGGGTCCTCTCCTTGCAGACGTTTTTATGTCCAGTCTAGAAAATGGTTCCCTGAAGCCTATGATCCAAAGCTTTCAAATATATAAAAGGTATGTAGATGACACCTTTATTATTTGTAATATTGATTGTAACCTGAATAATATATTAAGTGTATTTAATGAGTGCCATCCTGCGATAAAATTCACACTCGAAATGGAGAACGAGTCTAGCATTCATTTCCTCGATGTGAACTTATCAAGAAGGACCGATGGAACTCTGAAGAGATCGATTTATCGTAGGCTGTTATGGAATGGTCAACTGACAAATTTCTATAGCTGGGTACCTATTGGTCGAAAACGAAACCTGGTCCGGTCGCTTGCCACTCGTATTCGGCGCATATGTAGCACTGATACTGTGGAAGATGAGTTATACACTTTGAGGAAAATCCTAATGGAAAATGGATTTCCACCACGTTTTATAGATAAGAATATACATTCAAAGCCTACAAAACGTGACTTATCAACCGCTCCCAAGAAAATACTTTACATGAGCTTAGAATTCAAAGGGGACTTAGCTTCCGATATCATGAAACGAAGGATATCACAGTCCCTGAAAAGAACATTCCCTGCTGCCTCTCTGAGAATAGCTTTTACTAGCCGACCATTATTGTTCAATAACCTGAAGGACAAGATCCCAATGTTGACCAACTCTATGTGCGTTTATCAATTCACCTGCTCTTGTGGAGCTAGGTATATCGGTCGTTCGACTCGAGTTTTGTCCAAGAGGGTGCAAGAACATTATCCTGCATGGCTACGAAAAGGTGGAAGTGGAGCAATAAGAAGCGCGATCATAGAACATCTGGTCGAAAATGATCACCCTATCTCTATAGCCTCCGCCTTTAAAGTCATCTACAAGGCAAAGAGCAATCTACCTAAATCCCTACGTACCCGACTCATCTGTATTGCTGAAGCTTTGGCTATCGAAACAGAAAAGCCAGATCTCTGTGTACAGAAAAAGTTCGTTCAACCCCTCCAACTTTCATGGTCTTAATCCCTCTATGCTAAAATATGATAATCCCCAATCATATTTTAGCTCTACCAATTTTTCATTTTGTCTATTCAATTTGTATACTCTTCCTTATTAAGTCAATTGTTATTATTACTATTCTCACTTTGAACTGTCCCCGGTATTATTTCACTTGTTCCACTTGTCATTCTAAATCAATTCTTTTTTACAACGATAAATTCTATGCTATTAAATTTCACACAATATTACGTAACGTTTTTGTTTTATTCGATTTGCCTACTAATCCTATAATTGCACATCCTTTTTCAAGTTCTATCCCTCCTATGAATTATTCTATATATGACATTAATCTGCTTTGCCACTTGACATTTAACTACGATTATAATCACAAACATTTTAGTTTTAATTGAACTTCATATGATTATTATTATTATTATTTTATGCATTCACACCTAAGATTCAATTCCCTCACCGGATATAACTTCTGAAAAACCATATATATACGACTGTACAGCTTGATGATAAATTCGTTGAAAAGAGTCTCTTCGCTGAATCACTTGTTTTGATTTTCTAAATGTTACAATGGGAATTTTCCATGAATTTAACAACTAACACACTCGGGAATACTATCTTGCCTGGTCGGATAGTAAATGCAGAACGTAGGTGTGTATACAATAGCTCGATGAAGTCAGGACACTTCGCTCCATTTGAAAAGTTTTTCAAAATCCTATACAAGCTCCAAACAAACCTCTCAAAAGAGAGAATGTGAGATAAAGGCATCTGGGCATAGCTGAGGTACTAGCAGAGAGCGAACCAAAAGTTCAAACCAACCCTGACCAAGGAAGGCGATGGGGTAGGCAGGCATGTGTAACACATGTTCCAACCATCTTACTCAGTCAATGTAACTTCACAACCTCATCCACTGATTTTCTATCTCTTCTTAACTAACACAAGACCGAAGCCTAACCACTTCAATATTACTCACCCTATTATTGCACCTACCACCTAACATGGGAGATAGAACACAGACACATGATTAAAGACACCTACTTGAGCATTGAATGTCTTCCACTTCCAATGGTCATGTCTCACTCACAGCCATCCATAAAGGGGGACGGAGCGAACTGTCGTTAAGTACCCAAGTCCTTTGATTCGACAGCCAACCAGATATCACGTCTACACTAGAGATGGCGTAAGTAGTGATGAATAAAATATTAGATCATTCTGCCATGGAAATTTCAATTAATTTCGTAATCCTACTACATGTGTATAACATATATGACGCTGTTTTGATTAACTATCTTAAATAACTATCGCTGTAAGTGATTCCTTTTGTTTGTTGTAGACGTGATGTCCAGCTGTCCATTAAAATACGTGTGTACTGTGAAGCAATTCACTCCATCCTTCTTTATATGCGTGAGATGTGGTCATACGAAAGTGGGACATTCAAATAAGCTGACAGTCTCTGACCTTTGTGTTGTGCGGTGAAATGTGTTCAATAACAATAAGGTTAGGGTGTTGAGTGTTAAGTCAGGACAGAAAATCAATCGACTAGGTTATGAAGTCCCATCACGTATAAAAAATCCTCGTCGACAACTGATGGCTGACACAGGAAATTGCGTTGAAAAACAGTTACGCATGTTGAAACCAAAACGTAGCATCAATCTATGAAGTCTTCGACAGTTGGTTTGTACCACCATAGGGAGGTGTAAACTGTCTGTTTGAAGTCTTTAAGATGCTAACAACAAATGACTTGAGAGTATTATTAGTGACATGACATAAAATGCTTCCTCAACGACCTGAGTGTTACGCAACCAATTTAACACTATTAAAACACGAAACTACACACAATAATCTATAAGAAATAGAACAGATACGTTTAACACTTAGAAAAAAAGACGAGGGAAGTTATTTTAAACCGACGACTTACCATTTTAGGATCTGCAGTCATCAACCGTGAATAAGCCGCTTTTATTGATGGTGAGGCTAAGTCTTCATCTGATGCAGATATATTTATTAAATCTTCAGTATATTCTGGACCAATAATTTCATGAAGTTCTGGTATATCTAAAGAGTAAATCAATTACACTAATTATCTAGTTAGAAGAAGAGGATCAATGAAAATAATTGATATATTACCTGAAGAATTATCAGGAATCAAGGGAACACAGACTTAACAACAATAATTGAAGCGCCCGCTGGTTAGCAAGCACTAACAGTTGATGAAAACGGTAACCAACTACTTATATCAGCGCATCAGTAGCATATAGGCGCATGTACTTATGCTTAGATTACATACTGTGATCTGAATATTCACGATTTGGAGAAGAAACCATCCATAAACTATTGAATGTACTAATGAGTTTCTTCAGTACAAGGAGAAGGACACCGCTAATGAGTAAGGAAAATAGCAGATCGGTTTGATTACCAGTCCCTAGCTAAGTTCTAGACAATAATATAATAATAATAATTTTTGCTTTATTCCAAAAACAGTACTAGTGATACAGCAAGGAATTTTCAGCATTCAGTACAATATTGCATCTAATTTACTCAAAAACTACAACAAAAAAATTAAAAATACACATTACATAATAATAATAAAACGATTGTTATAGCAGCTACATAGCAAAATACTGTATGCAATACGGAGAAAAATATGCATAATGTATAAAATTGTAGTAATAATAGTAATACCAACTAAAATAAAATAGCAGAGTTATAATTAAACGACAGAAAGGGTGACACCATAAAATACAGAAAGATGAACAATGAAAGAGTCGATTCAGTGTGCTAATTACATAGTAACTTGTGTGTTTCACGTCTAACAGAGTCTTCGTCACATAAAGTACGGGCTAAATAGGGTATTGTAGAATTTCTGTACTTAGTGGTACGAGCATATAACTTTTTATATTGACTTCTCGTCCTACCTGATGAGATACAAGGGGATAGTTGTGAATAAAGAGGGTGCAGAGGGTCTGACAGTATAGCCTTTGCCCATTTTGTACAGGAATTTATATGCCTCTCGACTATAGTATTGGCGAGCTCACACAGTGGCAGGCCACAAGCCCTACTCACAGCATTTAATACTCTTCGTAATATGATATAGTCTTTTTTGTGGGGTACAGGATGTCCTGCTGTGTCCCCTACTTCAGGGATGTAGCGGCGTTAGCGGCCTACCCTAATGTGCTTCGGTGGCACAGTGGTTAGACTCTCGCCGACCATGCACATGGTCCGAGGTTCGATCCCCGCGCGACGCACACCTGATATCTATGGTCGGCTGCGAAATTTGGGCTACCGATATCCATGCTGAAAATTCCATACTTGTACCAAAAATACAGTGTGAAATCAAGCTGTAATCAAAAATAAAATAAATAAATACAGTTTAGGTCGGACGGAAAGAGCTACAAGTGGTCTATTCAAAATATAAAGAAAATCCACAAGATATCTGAATGCTGCTTTCATCTAGGTAGAAAGGTGCAGACTTTCTGGCCGGGCTCCTCGGTGTGCTAAGAACCAATGACTTGGGATTGTTGGTGATAAGGGCTCTAAATTCTTCTGATTGGCGCTGTGGTGCATTCACCATTCTTCTTTCTACCTTTGTGGATTGGGGCAACTGGAGTTGCTGTAATTCAGTGGATTCCAGTCGTAGCATATTCACTTGTTTATACAGAGCTTCAGCAGTAATGTAACATTTTTACGCTTATCACGCAGTGATTTGACCTGTTGAACTAGTGCAACTTATCATTTATTGTATGATTTTAATATAATTCGCAATCTATTTATCAATTAATTACAGCGGTGAATAAACAAAGAATGTATGGCTAATAACAGGAAACAGTAATAATAATAATGTATGCTACAAAAGTTCGATTAAAAAGTTGTCACACATTAGTTTGAAGGGATTTGATTGATTCCAGTTTCACCAAGAATCGATACCAGTGAGAGGACCATCGGAAACCAGCAGCGACTAGTGTGCGTCGGTGGCACAGTGGTTAGGACTCTCGCCAACCATGCACATGGTCCGAGGTTCGATCCCCTGCCGCGACGCACACCTGATATCTATGGTCAGCCTTCAAAATTTGGGTTACCGATATCACATGCTGAAAATTCCATACTTGTACCAAAAATACAGTGTGGAATCAAGCTGTAATCAAAATAAAAAAAAAATAGAAATCGGAAGCCAGCAGCGAGTATTGGATAGCTATCTCGTCCAAATTCGGAACTCCTCAGTAGTACTCACCCACCACAAGGTTTCAAACCCAGGACGTTCCAGTTATAAGTCAACCTCGTATACCTTTCAGCTATTCGGGACCCGGATCCAACAGCCCACGAATTCCAACTTCTACAAATTCGGAATTTTAGCATGACAACTGGCCAGTGCCATGGGTAAGTAATGCCCCTCACGCCCAACGTGATAGCTCTCCTACTTGTCACGATTTCTCACTGGAACTCTAGACAACTTCATCCTGTTCACAAATGCTTATATATTACTTCGACTTGTCTCCAACTGTATATAATACCACCAGTTAGAAGTAAAAGCAGAAAGAACAGGGTTTACAGTGAAAGATGTGCACAGTTGAATTATTCCACGGCTTCCCTTCAACTGAAGACAGACTAAACTATGCGTATACGACTAATGAAATAAAAATATACATTTTATTACTCTATTCTGTGGAAATGTCGTCCCTTGGGGAAACCACAATGACTGTGGAATATGATGACACGTGATCAGTTACAATTGTGGTGAGAGCAGGCTGCTAGCCGATTGGTTGGCACTAATCTACGTTAAGGTCTAGGTCACTAATATGGGCCGTGAGAAAATATGAACAAGCCTGAGTCAACAACCAATCACAGCAAAGTTAACGTGGCAAAATATGATTCGCAGATAGAGAACTCTATTTGTCAAGGAATCCCGAAACAACCAATCAGAAGCCTGCGTTTGTCTACCTAAACAACCAATCAGATGACTGCGCTTGTCTATAATAATGTTGTCTGAAATATGTATAAATACGTGTTGATTTTCATAATAAAACGATCTGTTGCCTGGCCCTTGTCTTCTGTTGTTACACAATTAGTATGGTAAAAGTAAAATGAATCATCATTAGATTAGAAGAAGACTCAAGAAATTTCCCTAGTGTCGACTTGAAAGCGACTATTTAAAATTTAAAACACAAACATCATTCAATATGGATACCAAGAGATGTGTCACACAAAAATATATAAAGAAAATAAGCAGAGGATGAATGAGCAATATCATCGGGAAGGCAAGCACGCAAGCATATTTGTCAAGATCATTCATTGTCTGTCTGTCTGTCTGGATTCAACATAGAACTTGGCACCGAAGTGCACCAGTTCGAGTTGCCACGTTCCAAATAGCACACAGAGGTAGACAAGAAGATGAGTGAAGAGAATCAATAGAGTTTCACAAGTATAAGAGTGAAACAGAATGGGTAATGGTAGAAAGGAATATGAAAGATTACAGAGACTGAATACATGTGCGCTGGCCATTGACAACGATTTTGAGCCATGTCACCTATTGTCTCCAGCCATTGATTCCTAGAGTCAGTCCCGAGGGCCCCAACCCGGAAGTCTTCATCTCCCTCCCTACCTGACTCAGTTTAACTGTCAAGGATTTCATGGATTGATGAGGCCATGTTTTTGTTTGGCTACCACTGGCTCTTTTCCAACCTGCACCTTTATCAATCAGCTAGTAATGCCCGTCGGCGGGGGGAGGCGATGGTTAGGCATGCGCACCACGTCACCTAGCCATCTCAATCTATGTAACTTTATAGCCTCGTCGATTGATTTTCCCTCTTTGCCCAACACTCTACGCCTAACGTCAACATTACTTACCTTATTAAACCACCTAACGTGAGAAAGAGATCGCAGACATCTATGGTCGAAAGCAGTCGACCTTTCATGTCTTCAACGCGTATTGGCCATGTTTCAGAGCCATAGAGAAGGACGGAGCGAACTGATGAGCAGTACACACGTCCCTTGGTTGATAGCCGGATGTCACGCCTACGCCAGAGATGGTGTAAGTCAGCGAAAGCAGCTCGAGCTTTTTGGATCCGTGGTGAGATTTCGTCGCCAATCAGTCCGTTGGTGCTAATACAACTTCCCAAATAGGTGAAGTGGTCAACATGTTCTATCACTTCACTCCCTATCACTAAGTTAGGAGTTGACGTAGTCCAGTCCTGTAGCAGCATCTTACATTTTACAGGGGCGAATCGCATGCCAAACATACGAAGATTGCTGCTCAAGGTGTTCATCAGAAGACTCTGTATTTTGTCAGAATCCTCCCCTAACAGGACTATGTCATCTGCATATTCTAAGTCCATAAGACTATTCCCTGGTAACAAGTCGATTCTTAAGTCATTACGTTCAGTTAAGGATACTTCCATCAGCATATCTATGGTGAAGTTAAACAGAAATGGGGAAAGTGGACATCCCTGTCGGACACCACTGGTTGTTACCAATTCAGATGACAATTCCCCATAAGCCCTTACACGACTACGTGAGTTTGAATAGAGTGCCTTGATTAGTGCAATGTACTTTCTTGGCACTCCCTTCACAGTCAGACATTGCCATAGGATCATTCATTACTTCAGAGGGAAGAAAGAAGAAAATTGCAGTATGATCATCATTGATTGCAATTCTTAGATATATCTGATAACACACACATTGAAGTGACCCACAGCAACAGTTTATCCTTTAAACATCCATTCATCATTTGTCGGCTGTAGAAATTGATCCGTAGCTCAGCAGCAAAGAAGGCTTTTCACAGTGATCTGTATAAGCGGTCCTTCAGGATCTCATCAGCGGTATCACCTTTAAATTTAAAGGTGATTACTTCTAAAGTCTTCTTCCAATCTAATGATAAAGAATATTTTAGTATATCTATATTCAGGAAGAAAACCCACTCCAACAACAAATATTTAAACTTCGGATCAGCACACCCCATAAGCTTAAATGGTATCACTTGTTTCAAGTCTTCTTGGACGAGCACACTCTTTGATGTTAACGGATGAGAAAGAAAAAGAAGAAGAAATATCAAGCATTACTGAAACTCTCAAGCAAAACAACTACCCAAAGAGCTTCATCAACAAAATCAACACAGACATTAAGTATGGTCGAAAACGTATTCCGAAAACATGGACCTCAACTGTTGTTATCATTCCATATAGAGCAGAATCGTCAGACGATATCAGAAGAGCACTCAATAAGCTCGACATCAGAGTTTTCTTCACACACACACACACTGCGAAACAACCTTGTCCTTATAAAAGAAAAACTCACCAGAGATTCTCTATCTAATTGTGTCTCTAAAATAAAATGCTTCGAATGTGATGCGATATACATCGGATAAACATCACCACAGAGAAATCAAAATCAGAAGAGATGAACACCGTAGACTCGATTCTGTTCGACCACCGAGAAATCCAGTTGAACTTGAAAAGCTTGAAAAATCATCAGCTATAGATCTACAGGCTACGCTATAGAATCAGGCCACAAAATTGATTTTGACAATATTCAAGGCATCACCCAGAAAAATTTCAGAAATAACGAAGAACGTTTAATATCATAAGAAGCACTTCATATCAAGTGGATTCCTAATTGTCTGAATAGGAATGATGGACTAAAGCAGAATTTGACCTGGTTACAACACCTACTAACATCCCCCAAGAAGTGACAAAATAAACACGAATGTGATAAGTAATTTCATTATGTAAACACACGCTGTTTTTATAATTTTACACACTTATCAAATCAAACAATCTACACCTGGTTTTGTTATCTTTACCGATTGGCCAATTCGACAACGCAAAAATGACCCCATACTGAGGAACAATGATTAAGTTGTTATATATAAGCTGAGATTTTGCAAAATAATACTTTGTAATAATACTTTGATAAAGCTATTAGCATTAAATAGCGAAACGTCAGTAAAAGCAGCAGCAATATCGTTTTGTTTTTCATTCATTCATTGGGAAATACAAAAAAGAACCTTTATTATAATCAAAATCATACCCCCAATGCCCAAATTTTTTCAAACTGTTAAAAGTGAACTTGGTTTGGCCATATATGATAAAGAATATTACTTTTATCATGCTACTTGTAACAGATCACATGCCATCATATTCAACTGGACTACATCGACACCTAGTTTAAAAATAGGAAGTGAAGTGGTTGGTGGAGCACGTTGACCGCTTCACTTATTTGGGAAGTACCATCAGCCCCAACGGGTTGATCTCTGATGAAATCTCAGCACGAATACAGGGGGCTCGTTTCGCATTTGCCAGTTTACGCCGTCTCCGGGGTAGACGAGATGTTCGACTATCGACCAAAGGGTGTGTGTACTGCTCATCAGTCCGCTCCATCCTCCTTTATGGTTGTGAGACCTGGCCACTGAGAGTGGAAGACATGAAAAGACTAGCTGTCTTTGATCATAGGTGCCTGCGCTCAATTTCCCGTGTAAAGTGGCATAATAAGGTGAGCAACATTGAGGTTAGGCGTCGAGTTCTAGGTAAACAGGGGAAATCAATCGACGAAGTCGTGAAGTTACAAAGACTGAGATGGTTAGGACATGTGTTACGTATGCCAAGCCATCGCCTCCCTCGACGAGCAATGTTAGCGGATGTAGGGTCAGGCTAGAAAAAAGCTAGCGGCGGTCAAACAAAAACTCGGCACCAGTCAATGAAATCCACAACAGTTGGTCTAAGCCACGTAGGAAGGTGTAGACTTCCAGGCTGGGGTCCTCGGGACGGTAAAAATCTATGGTTGGAAACAATTGGTGACATGGCTCAAAATCGTTCTTAGTGGCTAGCGCAGATGCATCCACTCCTTGTGACTTATGATCTCCAATGAAACTGTTTTGTTCTTCGTTACTACTCCTTTGTCTCACACCTCTACTCACTGTTTCTATTATGCTTTTCTTGTACTTTCTTCTCTTGCTTCGCGTGCTACACGGTGTGGCGACTTGAACTGGCGCACATTTGTGCAAAGTTCTATGTCGAGAACAGACAGACAGGCATCATATTCAACAATCATTGAGATTTTTTCGCAGAATAGAATAGCAAGATGAGTTTTTATTTCACTAGTCGTATGCGCATAGTTTAGTCTGTCTTCAGTTGAAGGGTAACCATGGACATCTTTCACTGTAAATCCTGTTATTTCTGCTTTTACTGATAGTAATTATACTAAATGGAATTTTCAGCGTTTTTTATACATATTGCAACAATTCAGCTCTTTTTATAAATACATAGATACATACAATTAACAAAGAGTAATAATAATAATAATAAAACCACACAAAAAATGAAAGTTAGTGGAACAGAATGAATTATAAATAAATAATATAACACAAAATGAATTTAATGACAATAATAATAATTTTTCTTTATACTTTGCATTTCAGTTATTGATTTAAAAAGTTTATAAGTTCTTTTCTGACATTCACCTCTCTTCTTCATACAAAACCCTGTGCTAAATATGGTGGTATGGTAGAATTTTTATATTTAGTAGCTAGCTGTACGAGCATAAATTCTTATGACGTTTCTTCCGGTTCTACCCAAAGAGATACAAGGAAATAGTTGCGAATAAGTAGAGAGGATGTTCGATATCAGACAAGATAACTTTAGCCAAACTGCTTGAAAGATTTCAGGATTTCATCATGAGCTGACATTAGTTAGAGAGCCACTGGAAAACCTGCATGGAGTACTGGACAGCTGTTTCGTCCTAGTTTGGGACTCTTCAGCATTACGTACCCGCCGGGATTCGAATCCAGGACCTTCTGGTTACAAGACTAGCGAGTTCGTATACCATTAAGCCGCTGGAACCCGATCCAATGGCCAACCCATGAATTCGAACTTCTGCAAAAATTCACGACATACCGCGATCCCTAGCCAATGTCTTCAGCGAGTGTTTGTCCTCACACCCGACCGGCTGCACCCTACTGGTCACGACTTTTCACTAGAACCCCAGGTAACTACCTACCTGAATAGGGCAAGTCGCTAGTGAGCATCTCATGCTTGAAAAATTTTGAACGTCTATCAACAACAATGTTAGTTAGTTAAGTGAAAGGCACACACCAATAACCCTACATAAAGACTTCAGTGTTCCACGTAATATGACAGAGTCTTTCTCGAGAAGTCCAGGGAAGAATAAGTGGGACGAACAATAAACAAGGATGGACAGAATACATGAATTAAGAAATTTTAAGAGAAGAGATTGAGCTATGATGCCAGAAAGTCTCAACTTCTTTATGTAATAAGTCAAAAGGAAATTTTTCTTAAAAATCAATAGGATATGACACGACCAACAGAGATTCGAAGAGAAACTGATGCTGCCGAGATGAGAGATATTCGATTTAGCTCCCATCACACTGCCGTCAACACTACAGGACTCGTGGGACTGAATCAGTCAGTCCACGTAAGTCTTGTTCACATCTGAAACTAAAATCAACAATATGACATTTAGATGGATTCAGTTCAAGACCAATTAGTTGAGACCATTTGTTCACTTCAGACAAGAATCTATTCATATAAGAACAATCCAATGCAGAAACTACTGAGATAGAAATCTGTCTGTCTGTCTGTTTTCAACATAGAACTTTGCACCGATGTGCAGCAGTTCTACCTGCCACACTCCATGTAGCATACAAAGCAAGGGAAGAAAGTAAAAGGGAATGCAAAATAGAGACAGTAAACAGGGATATGACCCATAGCTGCTACTTTCACGTGGTGGTCTAGCTTGCACACCGCAATGACCCAACAAGCTACACTGGCTGAAACTATTCTTCCTGTAGGTCCTAGCATGCCAGGAAGATTGTTAGGGTAGCGATTAAACTAGAAGCAGTTACCGACTTAGTGTAAGAATTTTTCTAGCACTATGCTGGGGGTGTGTGGGCGAAGTCGTACTACTGGGGAACAGGGATGTAACAGCAGTGGCGTGTTCCCCTCAGATGACCAGCATGTCGGCCAGCTATGCTGTCTCTCTACTTCGGGGAGAAGGAGTTAGAAAAGGTCGACCCCAACAATTGTATATCCCGACTTACCCTACGGTGGTCCGTAACCAGCGATGAGTTTACTAATACGGAACCAAACCAAGAAACTAGTTCATACAGGCAGTGTGTAACTGGCCTCAAGGAGTTGTCCCCTGGACTCTGCAGTCACACAACACTAACCCTGTCTCTGTTTCAGGTACCCGAAGAATCAATCAACTTCCACGGCGTGGGCATCCGGGAAGTAACAACCGCCCACACACTTCCAAAAGCACATGAAGCCTCCCCAAGCATCATTTTCCTCTACCCACATCACTGAGACAGAAATGGTTAAATCGTCTGCATATTTAGTGAAGTCAGCTTCGAAAGAATATGGGTCATACAAAAAGAAATGGAAATAGTACAGAGCCCTGTGGGGCACACCAGTTTCTTCCATTCCATCCAATAGAATTCTATTGTTCTTCAATTTTGCTACTCGTTTTGCCTCACATTTCTGTTTATCATCTCTCTTTACTCTCTTCTCTTGCCTTGTGTGCTACATGGGGTATGGCAACTTGAACTGCTGCAAATCTGTACAGAGTTTTACGTCGAATCCAGTCAGTGAGTCAGGAAGGTAAATGAATGAAAACAAAAACAGACTCCATTACTTTATATATATATATATATATATATATATATATATATATATATATATATATATATATATATATATAACATAACCTACATTTTGCAAACGTTCCAATTTCTGCCGGTGATCTAAACGAGATCATTGCTTCAAATGGTGTTAAAGCGATGGCTAGTTCAGGTTTGTGATTTGAATCTTTGTAGACATCAGGTCTTTCAGCGTGTAACTTAATGGCATACTCCTAAAATATGCATAGAATACACATAAAGTAAAAACCAATAAGGCAGAAAGTTACGAAATATTCGCGATTCATATGACTTGCAAAAAAAGGGCTGTCAGAAAAAGCAGTATAATAGAAATTCTTCGGGAATACATTATCATTCAGCTTAAAAATATGGGTACAGAATGAAAAAGGATGGAAAAGAACAGATCCCTAGAAACTAGGTATCATAAGTGCAGTTAATGCGTGTCAGTGGTTCAATGGTAGGATGCTCGCCAACCACATATGTGGTGTGGAGTCCAATTATCCGACAAGATACTCTTAAGCCTCATGTAATCAACTCGCCGATAGCAAGTTTGGAAAAGAAGGGAGGTTAGATAGGAACCTGGTAAGCTCACCCCGTAAAACAATAACATCAACGTTATTGAAACTTTAAAGCATACTCCATTCCGCACGCAAAGGAATGAAAAACGGGTCACTGAAGTTGGAAATCTTTAGACTGAATTGCTTTGTGTAAAATACACCAAGCTATTACCTTTTTCAATGAACACTAACGATCAAGGTAGAATAAAATTGGCGTAAAGTTGAGAGTGATGTAGAATGATGTAAGTTACCCAGGATAAAGTCTTCGGTATGCTAGGGATCTCCAATTAATTGTAAATGCATAAACAATGGGTGAAAAATCGTTCATGACGATGTAGGGGTATTAACTCGATTACACTTTAAGCTCTGAATATTTGCCCTAATTGTCTTGTATTCACACTCTTGTCTTCATTCTGGTTTCATTGCAATTTAGTTCTTGTTTTATGTTCTGTGTAAAATATGTTCAACATATAATAGACAGAGTGTGTGTCGGTACCACAGCACAGAATGATCGCCAACCACGCCAAATGTGGTTCGGGGTTCGATCCCCTGTCGACGCACTTCTTTACTTTACTAAGCTAGTAATATAAGACTGGTAAAGAGAGAAGGTTGGGCATCAGGCAGGCTAGCAATCCCATCCCGTATAAATAAATACCACTGCTAGCGAAACTTCAAGCCTCTAGCTTGAAGCCATATGTTCCACTGGGAACTTAAAGGAATAAATAATAATAATGGGCAGAGTGACAGCTGATAAAATTGTGCAGTGCTTTAACCATATTCAACTTACTTTACTTTACTTTACTTCGGCTATCTCCTACGGGAGGATGAGCCGGCTTCATGAACGTCTCGAATCATCGCTGCCCAGGCGCGGCAATTTGTAAGAGAGTTCATGAAGTTTCATGGGAATTTGGTACGAGTGATGTCCCCAGCATCGCTCGGCCTTTTGTTTGAGAGTGCAGCTCTAGCCTTTACACAACCAAGTGTGACCTACAAGGCAGTAGGAGTGGAGTAAGGAGTCCACTATCCATTGGCAGCCGATGACCGGAGTTCGGTTCATACGCCTTTTTGAATGGGGCCAGACATCCAGGAAAACCAACAAGCCCTTTGTCCATACGTCTGCCGGTGAGCTCCAGTGAGCTTCATACGCCAATCGTTGGAGGTTTGGAATCAGGGTTTAGTCATCTCCCCTAGACTGTCATCCAATGGACAGTCAACCCGGTGGAGAGCGCCGGGCATCCGCTTTCGCCCTCTCACTTTGGTGAGAAACACCTCCGCCACGTGAAGGCAGTGAGTAGGACTTCCTCAGGAGAGGCTATGTAAGACGCCCGGTCATATGGGAGCATTTCAAGAGGTGTGCGGAGGGGTGGCCAACCCGCAGCGCAAGGCACCCACCCCCGACCATCCTGAGGCTTTGGAGGCCTTCTAAAGACAATCAAAATGCGCCAATAACACTTAGACGTTGACTGTGTACACAATGATATGATGATGGGGAAGGAGGGGAATGTGAATGTTACCTGATAACTTTAATAGTTAAATCGTGACAGATAACATACTTAAATCAAAACACATACAGTCTCAATTAGTTTAAGAAAAGTGATTATCTAGTGTTAATCAATGTATTTGCCTGATCTTACGTGTATAAATCAAAAACCTGTCAATCAAGTAACCACTGCAGTCACTAAGCCAAGTGACACTGCAGTGCACTTTTTGACTTGATGTAAAGCCACAATACTGAAGAAATCCAACAGCTAAAAATAAGGATACAACACGAACCTTCTTTCCTTCGACCTTCCTAACAAAGCTGAGGTTTTCCAATGAGAGTGTATTCGATATTATTAACCAGTTTCGTTAATTATGACTGTTTGAAGATTTTCTCTCTAGAAGGAGATATCTTCAAATAATCTTAGATCTTACGAACCAAACAATTAAACATTAAACCCAAAAATCATCTAGTAAGAGGACAGTCAATCGTCCAAATTAACACGTTCATTATAGTATGAACTAAATTTCAATGAATTCCTAGACCTGGCAGTAACCATGGAGCGCTTATAATCGACAACAGTAGCAGTAATACGCATACATCTTGTCGTTTTTTCTATCTTACCATCACATTTCTTTACTAGAACCTCTTCGTATTAATGTCTTCTTTTATCTCTTGTGTGTAGACACGAGTTTTCAGACTAATATACCTATGCAATAATCTTAGATTTCTACTTCGATAATGGTTATCTGTCTGCATTTGTATGCTTCGTTAAAAGAAGCCAAAAATTTGGCATTCTTGTTACTCAGTTGTTAGATAAAAAAAAACCAATTATCTGTTTCGATGCCAGATATTTTGTAAGCACTTATAGAAATGCATAGAAATATATCCGTGTCACAAACTTTAAAATAATTGTGAAGAATGCAGAGAACGGAGAATGCGTCCAAAGGTTGGTGATAAAACCTGTAAACATAGGATATACGAGATATTCAACTCTGGTTTGCTAATAGGTTATCGAGGCCTGAAGTGATGATGAATCTATAGAATGAATTTTCTGACTAATAGAGTCGCTTAAAAAAACATAAAGAGCCGTACTCAAAACTGTAGAGGAAAAAAGAATTTCAGAAAGGAAAAATTTGAGATTGTCTGCATGAACTGAGACAAGCAATGTAATCCAATCATTGGAGCTTGGCATTATCACCATCTTAGAAGCATTACTCATATTATAAGACTAGTGACAAGAGGGTAGATCTATGGGTTTTCCCATAAAAGAGATAGACTAGACTGGCAAAACAGAACAGCAACCATGCCCTTAATACATACTTTGATATGAAGGTAGACCTTGTGAGTTCATAAAATACCAACTCAGACACACGTGGAACACATCACTGACTTCAGTGTAGTATACGTTAACTCACAATGGTATCTCGTAAACAATTATACGTCTAGATGTGTTAATTCTACGTCACATGAAGTATCTTTTAAAGATGGAAACATTTCAATGTAGACTGGTAGTCTACTTAGGTAAGATACAAGGTATTGCAGCCTAGCCATTACTTTCAGAGATACAGACGTCTGGCAATAGATTAGCCAAAAATCGATTACCCTACAAATACGCATAAGGTGGAAATGGATAGACATATACCGAGGTGACCGCTGGGTGAAATCACACGCCAGAACTTCAAGCAGAACATGAACGTAAAGCGACGAGTGGGGTATTTGAGCGTGGTATAGGTAAGATTAGATGAAGCAACAATGGAGGCTTTCGCAAGTCGTGGAGCTAGCAAGAAAGACAGTAGAAACCAGAATGCGAAGGAGAAGTGCAGCTGAAACTCACTCCACAAGCAAAAGACGAATAACGTCATCATTTAGCAATCATAATATAGAAAAATCGTCAGGACCAAATAAGCTGCGTTCAAGGTTCCTAAATGGACTGTTAATTCATACAAACGACCAGCTAGCTTCCATTTTCAAGACGCTCCGAAGCAACAAATACCATCATCTCAATAAAAGGATATGAGTTAACTATTTTTCATGTGTGATGATTGTTTTTATGACAGAACTTGGCACAAAACTGCGGCAATTCAAGACGTCACAATTTTTGTGTAATAAATACCACGAAAAGACAGGGTTATGTTGGGTCTAGAGATAGTAAAAATGCCATACATGAAATATTTACAGAACGAAAAGGTACCATATACCAAATTAAATTAAGTGTCAGGTCCCAGGAGTGCGAACGCTCTAATGACTTTGAATGCAAACTAGTCGTTTTATAACGGGACTTATTATTATTACAGCAATAGTGTAAATGCCATTCACGAATTAAGGTGTAAATTACACCCCGATCACGTTTTTAAGCGCTGTTCGGACAATATGCTAATAGCTCGTTAGGATTTAAATTAGGGGCCAGGGTTAAGGTTAGCGTTACGATTAGGTTTAGGTTTGAGGTTGATAATATTTAATTTTATTTGTTTCAGTTTCGAGCAATCATTAAGATACCACAGGAGAGTAAGACGATCGAAAAGAAGTCAGTACATCGAGCTGGAAAAGTTGAGTGTCCACCTCCTAATGTAGTGCCTGCATTTTCAAATATTTCACTCAAAATAAAATAGAATGCAGTCGATATAAACGGCCACAAAATCAGAGACACCGTTTGAGTAAAATGGTTATTGGCCAACTGTTTTTGTTATATAATCGACCGTCTGCTCCAATAAGCAGTAATACAAAAAATCTCGCTATGAACAGAAAAGAATATGAGAGGTTAATCAGCAGTTTTTGACAACATTAAGACAAGTTGCGGATGAAAACATCCTATCATGCATCACACAAAGAAATAAGAAAATTTAGATCTCATAGTAGAGTTAACATGTATACATGAGCTATAGCTGGCAAGTAGAGTTCCATATAATTAACTATATCATAAACGCATTAAGTAGTGATAAAACCTTTCTTCAACAATAAAAATTACTATACCTTTGTAGGGTGGGCTTGAACAGACAATGCTGTCCGCACAGAAAGAACTTTAAATAGAAAAGGCAGTGCTTTCCCGAACTTTGCAACCACAGAAGAACCCAAACAGTTTGAATGTTCAGTGATATAACTTTCAAGTGTGGTAGAAGGAGCGTCCATCAAAAACGATGGTCCTGATACATGAGTACCCATCCACAACTACATCAAGTTTTTGAAAAATAAAAAGTAATAATTACCTCTGCATACGGTTTCGTAAGATCTAGCTCTTGATATTGACCAGATCGCTCCAGGAGCTTGTAAACCTCACTACTCACACCAATTTTACCCCAATCATAAGCTTGAAAAGCACACTTCAAGCGCAACATAACGTCTCAAATCTGACTTGATCACACTTTGAAAGCACGGGGTGAACGCCAAGGGACCTTGAAGTTAATATCGCCTGGTAGAACAAACAATAAGTATGCGTTCCATGGTACTAAATATCGATCTGCGATCTTAAAAATTAACCTTTAGCCTTTTTGAAATAATGCCTGACCCTAGAGTAATTCAGACTGTACGTCTCCTCAAAGTCGTGCTAAACTTCCAAGAAGAGACGGATATTATTCTAAGCAACTTTCAAACTCTTAAAGGATCAGGCATATATGTCCGTGTCGTCCGTGTCAAAAGCAACCTGTGGCCCTAGAACTAAGCGAACGACGTCGAAACGTCGAAAAGATCCTCAAGATTAAGGTTTTCGGGTTGTCCGAGTTCGCAGTTTAATGATCCCGAAACCTCTGTGGGTAGGCTGGGGAGGAACCAAACTGAATTGACAGTTCGCTACACAAACCCTCGCAGCCTGTTGAATAAATGGACTGAGCTGGTTAACTCCGGAAACCCAGGTGTAATTGTCATCGCAGAGACATGGCTCACACCCGATGTCACTGACAACGAAGTTGACCTACCAAACTTCGAAGTGCATAGGGTGGACCGACTAAACCCCAAGGGAGGTGGCGTAGTCATATACCTAGTGGGGTCCTCAAAATAAACTTATCTAATTTTTACTACTATGTAAGAAGTGAACATGTTGTATATTACTTTGTTTTAATCCGAATCTCTGTACTTTGAACTTTACCTCATGGTTTGAATGGAAATATAGTTCTGCCTACAACTCTCCATCTTCTCTACCATCCCAACTGCCATCGGCCAATTCTAATTACCTACCTTCTATTCCGAAATTTCCCAGGGACGCCGTATTTTCTCCCTACGTTACCTTGACCTCCCTCTGGCAATATCGATATTGGAGAAATGAGATTGGAGCAGTCTTCTCCCAATACTTATGGAGTCTACTACGTTAATCGTGGATTTGTACCTTGTAATAACCCAAGTAACAAACTTTAATATATCCTCCCAGTAAATTTACTGATTTGGTATATTTTATTTCCATTTGAATTTCGGGGACTAAGCTATCAGAGTTTGAGGTCCGCCACAACACAAGAAATGCTTAACCGTGAGTAGCAACAAAGCACCCGTTCACGAAAATGAGTCATGCGAGCTTGTACAATGCAGACTTGAATGTATAGGCTAAGACATTGACCTCACTGCTATGTACTGCAGTCCCGACTGAAGTGCAGATGACTTCCTAATAGCAAAGCTGAACTCCTGGACCTCGAAATGTCGAAGTCTCGTAGTCGGCAACTTCAACGCCCAAACAGTTGACTGGACGAGCCTTACAACTCCATCTTCAGTCAACTCTTTTGACCATGAACTGCTGGAATATAGTATATCGCTAGCCCTAGTTCAACATGTCATTAAGCTCGCGCGCTATGACTCACAGCACTCTTCGTCAACTGTGGACCTAGTGTTCTCCCACGATGATTGTCAGCCAACTCTCAAAAACTGTCAGTGCTCTCCCTGGAAGACTTTCAGAAACAATTTGCAGTAACCAACACGAAAAACCAGAACACAGATTGGCGACTCGAGAATCCTTTATTCTTACGCCAATATGTAACCAACAATAAGTTTATTATACACAAGCTCTAAGAATAAATGTTATAACAATAAATCACGATAATACTTCTGATAGTTTTCTCTCTTCCATCGAACAGCGAACGATGAGACGATGACTGCCGTATTGCCGACTCCCGCGAAAAATATGCAGGAGTTGGGCTTGAGCAAACAACCACGAATCGATCGTTCAATCTTCAACTACATTGACAACGAGGATGTGGATCTCATACAAAATCTTCCTCCTTTAGGAAGAAATGATCATGCTGTGCTCACTTTCAAGTTCACAACAATAGCAACAAGGGCCAAAAACTTAGATCGACCAAACGTTTGGAAAGCTGACATAGATGTGATTGTCTCAGCAGCCAACTCAGTGAACTGATGCATTAACCCATTGTCCAAAGTAGAAGCCGTATGGAACCAATTTAAACAACTTTGCACCCAAGTAACTTAACGTCTCATCCCTTGGCCTGTCCTAAATGGTCGGATAAACCGATAGATTCGTAACTTACTCAGACATAAACACAAATTTTGGAACCTGTTCGCCATACTTGAAACTCCTGAAACCAGGAAATTATATAACACAGCTGGGAATATAGCTGTCGCAGAAATCTGCCAATCAAGGATGAATTTCGATGCTCATCTGGCTCAAAATGCAAAGGCACAACCTAAGAAAATTTTCTCGTACATGAACTTCAGGAACAAAACATTCAAGGGTGTCCCAAACCTGATTATTGACTATGACACAATCGGAGAAGATCAAGAAAAAGAGAAAGAAACGGCAGACTACTTCTCCCAAGTCTTCACTCAGGAGTCATCACTTCCTACAGGATCAGCCCCGGCTGCAACAGAGGAATACGGGTAGATTCCGTTGACATCGACCAAGGCATCGTGCTCGACTGCCTAATGAAACTAGATGCAGGGGAATCAATAGGTCCTGATAACCTTCATCCAAGGCTTCTCAAGGAGCTATCGGCTCACGTAGCCATCCTTTCGACCACGATCTTCAAGCTATCTCTCCTAAATGGAGTGTTACCACGTGACTAGAAAGACGCCATAGTAACTCCTGTCCACAAAGGAGGGTCAAAACAAAGCCCTTGGAACTACAAACACTTTAGTCTTACCATCACTTTGATCAAGACACCGTAAAGAGTCATCAAGAAAAGGATCATGGCACATCTGGAAAACAGCAGCTTGTTATCAAAAACACAGCACGGCTTTCGAAGAAACCTCTCATGCCTGTCAAATCTCCTCGTTGCAAAAGAAAGCTGAGTCAAATCAAGGGATAACAGAAGACTCGCTGACATCGTCTCCGCAGACTTCAGCAAAGCCTTTGATAAATTACCTCACAAAAGACGACTCATGAAATTGGAAAGTCCTCATATAAAAGGCGGATTACTAAACAGGCTCAGAGGATTCTTCATAGACTGGAGGCAGAGGCTTAGGATCAACTCGAAACTCTTCTCTCGGACGGCAATACGTAGCTGAGATCTACAAGTCATGGTACTCAGACCTCTCCGTTTTACTTTGTATATCAATGGGTTACCTCTGCTCGTCGATTCCCATATGGCCGTATGTTAATGTAGTTGAAGATTGAACGATCAATTCATGGTTGTTCGCTCAAAACCAACTTCCTCAATTTTCACGGAGGCATCAATACGACAGTCATCGTCTCATCGGTCGCTGTTCAGAAAGAAGTCAGGAGACAACCGTCAGAAGTAATATTGTGATTTATTATTGTAATATTTGTTCACACACCTTAGTGGTAACATTGTTTATATGTTGGTGTTACAATAAAGAATCCTCGAGTCACCAATTGGTGTTTTGGTGTTTTCGTCCGTTATTACTAAGCGTTTCTGAGAAACTTCAAGGAACAGCGTGGGCCCGAGCGTAGCAAGAGCTGGGCATTAACGGTTTACGAGACGTGATTGACAGTTTCTCATGGTGAAGTCAGTTTTCGGCGGTTTCGAAACGCTGGTAACAGTTTGGATAGTTACCGTTCATCTTTCCTGGTGCCGGTCAAGTCCTCTTTGAACAAGCAATATCTGGAACTTTTTTGGAATTGGGTCAAGTTCAACAATGCCTGGGTCAAAGAAGGGACAGAGTGTCTTGGATGCAAACAGGAAAGTAAGTCATGGTGACTTGTCTGTTACTTGTAACGATGTGTCTGATGTTAAGCATGACATGGTTGATGTTACTGTTTCGCCGTTCAGGGATAATAGGAACATCAAACTCCCTAAATTTGAACCACGGTGTTTCGACGGAAACCCAGCTGATTATTCACAATTTGTAAAGGAGTTTGAGATCATGCTGAGTAGTCTGCCATTAAGTGATGAATTGAAGTTAATGTATTTGATGAGATATTGCACTGGGGATGCTGCAAGAGCTATACAGTGCTGTAAGTTTATGAAGCCAAAAGAGGGCTACTACGAGGCTATGAGCATACTACGTCAAAGGTTTGGAAGACCTTCGATGATTGTAGGGAAATTATTCGAGGCTGTTAAGGGTAATGGTGATCAATTACAGGATGACTCCCAGGCACTCACTGAGTTTCTGGATAATTTGCTGATTTACGAGAATGCATTGATTTCGATGAATTGCATGAGTGATCTCAACTCGAGTTTTATACTAGAAGAAATAGCAAGACGCCTACATACTCGACTGCAAAGGAAGTGGGTGAAGATAAGCTCCCGTATGGAGGATGAGGGTATCGAGCCAAAATTTGATGATATCCTGAAACTAGTAAAATAATAATAATGTATATTCTCATATAAACATATAAATTTACATGAAAATGCATGCCATTTTTACAGGCACGATCAAGTATGATATAATATCAAATCGTAGATTGTCTACAAGTTAATAATGTTTCAACAGTTAAATATTTGATATATATATATATATAAATACACATTGTCTGAACTAGGCTGTATAGTTATTGAATTGTACAATTGTCCTCCAGGTTGAGCGGGAAAATCGACTTCGTTTCGTTTTCATCCCGTGGTTGTCGGCATACGATAACCAACCAATATTGAGGTAAGTACAACGTTTACAAGGGATTGAAAGCTGTTTTAGAAAAGTAAAAGTGCTGAGGTGAATCATTAAATTGTAATGAAATAGGTAAGTGCAAGTATCATTAATAAATGCATTAATAAAAAAAACTCCCTAGGCTGACAACGTTCATTTGCAATGTATAATGCTACACGTATACCTCGTACTATCATGATGTCCACTTTTGGTTTTAATACATTTATCCTCAGTTGTGCCAGTTGTTTTTGTTTTATACCTTTTTGTGCATTTAATGTACAACCGTACCCTTCAGAGAGTAGGAATATAATAAGTCATAAAGAGCTGTAAAATGTTAGGTTTAATGGGATATAAT